GGTTTCTGATGCAAGGGGGGAATGACGAGCTGCTCAGGATGAGATTGCTGAGGATGGGGCCAGAGGGCAGGTGGTGGGCTCACAGAAGGTCAGGTGGCTGAGCCATAACGCCTGATGCTGGATGAAAGCAAACTCTTTGTGTCTCCCCCATCCATTCCTAGCCCCCAGGTCAAGCCATGGGATTTGGGGGCAGAAACCCCTTCCAGAAGGGAAATCAGGTCATACAAGCAGGGCACATGCTTTCTGGCTTTGCAGCCATTGTGGCCCAGGGTTCTGTGGCTTTCTTACCCTTTTTTGTTTCTTTTTTTTCGCTTTTTTTTCCCTTCAAAATGGGGGACAAGGCAAAGAGACATGAACAAATGAAAAACCTCCACGTAATTCCAGTTAACGGTGCAGTGGGCAGGGGCCAAAAGCCCCTGCTTTCCTTATTGCTGCAGGGTGAAGCCCTGGAGCATATGATTTGATTATCGTCATTGTTGTAAGGCAGTGCTCTGTGCCTGCTGTGAGAAAGGACATTTCTAGGGGGTTTAGGGGATTACTGGTTCCTGGGGCAGATGTGATGACCCCTGGTAGTGTCCAGCCTCTGCTCCTCCAGACTTCTGCTCACAGAAATGTGCTGAAGGCTCCATCCAAGTTCTTCTTTGGATAGGCCTTTGCAAGGCCTATTCGTAGTCCCATGCAGAAATAATTAGACTGCAAGAGTTTGGCTTAGCTAGCAAAAAATTGCTTCTGATATATGTTAAAGGAAATCAGAACACTTTGCTTCACACCTCTGAATAAAATTTTATTCATGTATTACTAGCCTGCTTTCTTACAAATAAAGGTTTTACCCTGGCAGTAGGCGTGCACAGACAAAACTGCTATTAAGAACATCATATCCTTTTTGAAGATCAACTAAAGAAGCTTTTAAATCTCAATCAGTCTATTTAAGCAGTTCCATTAACTGACTTCTTAATTGTCCTTTTACTGATTAGCTTTGTTCCTGTTTGCAAAGTTAGGGTGTAAACAGCTATGAGCTGCTTAAGATTTTTCCCTCCAAATGGGAACCTATTTGCCAAAGAGTTTTGTGTGCATTTAGTCTCCAGCATTTCCACAAGTGGCTTCTTGTTGGGAGTTAGTGTGCTACAACTGGAACCAATCAGGTGCAATCTGCTGTACACAGAAGGTGTGTGCCTGAGGACTGGAGGAAAGCTAATGTCACGTCAGTCTTCAAAAATGGCAAGAAGGAGGACACAGGAAACCAGTCAGGTGATAGAATGGCTCATTCTGGATGTCATCTCTAAGCATGCAAAGGAAAAGAAGGCTATGGGGAGTGGTCAACATGGATTCACCAAGGGGCAATCATGCCTGATCAATCTGATGGAGATTGGTCAAGGAACCTAATGAAGTTCAACAAGGGCAAGTGTAGGATGCTGTACCTGAGGAGGAATAACCCCATGTACTAGTACAGGCTGGGGGCTGACCTGCTGGAGAGCAACTCTGAGGAAAAAGACCTGGGAGTCCTGGTGGACAACAGGATGACCATGAGCTAGCAATGTGCCCTTGTGGGCACATTGGCCTCCTGGGGTGCATGAGGAAGGGTGTGACCAGCAGGTCGATGGAGGTTATCCTCCCTCTCTACTTTGCCCTGATGAGGCCACATCTGGAGTACTGTGTCCAGTTCTGGGCTCCCCAGTTCAAGGACAGGGAACTTCTGGTGAGGGTACAGCAGAGGACCACAGAGATGATTAGGGGCCTGGAGCATCTCTTTTACGAGGAGAGGCTGAGGGAGTTGGGTCTTTTTAGTCTGGAGAAAACTGAGGGGGGATCTGATCAATGACTATAAATACTTAAAGGGTGGGTGTCAAGAGGATGGGGCTGGTCTTTTTTCAGTGGTGCCCAGTGACAGGACAGGAGGAAATGGGCATAAACTTAACATAAGAAGTTCCATCTAAACATGAGGAGGAAATTCTTCACTCTGAGGCTGCCCAGAGAGGTGGTGGCATCTCCGTCTCGAGACATTCAAAACCCGCCTGGACATGTTCCTGTGCAACCTGCTCTAGGTGGACTTGCTTTGGCAGGGAGGTTGGACTAGATGATCCCCAGAGGTCCCTTCCAACTCCATATCATTCTGTGATTCTGTAAAATTTGCTTGCAGAAGCTCTTGTGTGTCCCACATCTCTTGGACTTTGTAGGTCAAACTGTAACAAAGAAAGCATTAGCAGTTTCCCCAAACTAAAGGAAAGGGTTTTTTAGGAGGTTGGAGCATGCAGATAGTCATGCATGCCGAGGGAGGCACAGGCATTCTAGGTGCCTTTCTAATGCTTCCTTTTTAAAGGAAAGCTACCTAGGTTTGTTTTTTGTCTTAAAAAAAGAAAAAGACACACCCCCCCATGCTTTTTGGAGCAGCAAATCTGGAAGTGAGTCTGCATGCTTTTTGGAGCAGCAAATCTGGAAGTGGATCTGAACCAAGACACACCCCCCCATGCTTTTTGGAGCAGCAAATCTGGAAGTGAGTCTGAACCTCTCTTCTTATTTGTATTTCTCCTGCAAACTAGAATAAGCAAACAGTGTTTTGTATGTCTCCTTCACTACATCTATCCATCTCTACCCTTGGAGCACAGTGGGAGGAGAAAGGGAGCTGCCCATGGACCATTTTTCTCTTGTTTTTTATGTTATGCTAGAACAAACTGTTTCAAAAATGACAATGACAAAGCAAAGCAAATACTTCTTCCTAGAAATTCAAACATAGTGGGTATGTTGCTATTAACTGCCTGCCAGAATCCTTGAAATACAGGCCCAAGCAGCAAGTGGGAGCTCTCTCGCTCCCTCAGTCCCTTGCTAACAAGGATTCTCTTGCTAATAAGGACTCTCACTCTGCAGTGCCTGTGTCCCCTGCTTGCCTGCCTCTGCCTGGGTCCTGCTTCAGAGGTTCCCGGATCCATGAGGTATTGACATTAAATTGTTCTTTGCCCTTAATCCGTGGTTTTCTGGTTGTTCCTGTGTCCTGCCTGCATCGGCTCACACAACCTCTCTTCTTATTTGTATTTCTCCTGCAAACTAGAATAAGCAAACAGTGTTTTGTATGTCTCCTTCACTACATCTATCCATCTCTACCCTTGGAGCACAGAGGGAGGAGAAAGGGAGCTGCCAGTGGCCCATAGTGATTGATTCCTCTCTTGCTTTTTATGTTATGCTAGAACAAACTGTTTCAAAAATGACAATGACAAACCAAAGCAAATACTTCTTGCTAGAAATTCAAACATAGTGGGTATGCTGCTATTAAATGGGCTGCTTTATCTATAACATTTATTTGGAATTATTCTTTTCTGCTTGAGCTTGCAGCCCTTAGAAGAGAGATGTGTTTCCCTGAAGCCATTTCCTTCAATAACTGTTGTCATCTGAAACTTTCTGTTATTGATTGCTATCACAGGGTGAAGATTTGCCCATTTGTATTTCTCCTGCAAACTAGAATAAGCAAACAGTGTTTTGTATGTCTCCTTCACTACATCTATCCATCTCTACCCTTGGAGCACAGAGGGAGGAGAAAGGGAGCTGCCAGTGGCCCATAGTGATTGATTCCTCTCTTGCTTTTTATGTTATGCTAGAACAAACTGTTTCAAAAATGACAATGACAAACCAAAGCAAATACTTCTTGCTAGAAATTCAAACATAGTGGGTATGCTGCTATTAAATGGGCTGCTTTATCTATAACATTTATTTGGAAGTATTCTTTTCTGCTTGAGCTTGCAGCCCTTAGGAAAGAGATGTGTTTCCCTGAAGCCATTTCCTTCAATAACTGTTGTCATGTGAAACTTTCTGTTATTAATTGCTCTCACTGGGTGATGGTTTGCCTATGTACAAAGGCAGAAATGCTGTAATTTTCTACTTGCGATAAGAAGTATCAGAAGTGGCCTTGGACAGGGATCAGATGTCTTACCTGACTTGGGTCAGCCCTAAAGCGAAGGCTGGGTTCTGCCCAGGGCCGAGCACTGCCCTGAACCCAAGCTGGTGCCCAAACAGCAAAGTGCCAGGGGTTGAGCAAACATGGGGATTCGAAAAGAGGGGCAAGCAAGTGCCTGGGGTGGCACTTGCTGCCACCCCACCAATGCTGCTGCCCAGGGGTGCGTGCAGGGGTGCTGTTTGCTCCCCTTTGCCCTTTTCACCAGGTTGCCATTCCTCAGCAGGGAAAATCTTGTGACTTCAAGGGTGCCTCAATGCAACCTTTTTAGCAGAGGGAGATTTCTCTCCCACTGTGCAAATCAAGGCGGTATCGCTCCTAATTGGGAGCACGGAGCTGAACTTTCCGAGCGCTGCCAAGGGCTGGCTCCGCTCTGACACAATTTCCAGCTCCGTGAGCACCGCTCCGGCACCCGGGAGGCCATCGCCTCCTCCCTCCCCTCCAAAATATGCAAAATAAAACCATTTGTAGAGAGCTCCTAACTTTCCCTTCCCTGATGATGGAGCTGCACACAACGGTACAGCTGGTCTGTCACCTAGGGGAGAGAAGGAGGGAGGGAGGCAGGGAGAGGGAGGGAGAGAGGGAGGGAAGGAGGGGGGAGAGAGGGAAAAGACAGGCAGGGAGCTCAGGTTACTGCTGCCGCATCACTGCCTTCCCCGGCTTCTGGCTGGGGAGGCACAGCCGACCATGCACCGCCTGGCTGGGGATGGCTGGGCTGCGGAGGGATCGGGGGACACTTCCCGAAGTGGAGCTGGCGCTTCCCGGTAGCAAGCTGCTCCTCGCTCGCTGCAGCAACATGGCCAGAGCCGCCGGAGGATGCGCTGCAGGCGTCTGAGGTGAGGAGCTCCTCGTTTCGTTCCCGAACTCCCAACGGCAGGTATGACTGTGGGCAGGAGAGTCCATTTGCCTACGGACGCACCCTTGGACCCACATTACCCACTTTCTGAAACTCTGCCCTCCGTGGCTGGGTTAGGAGAGCAAGATAAGAGGGGGTGTCAGGTGGGACCCCGCTTGGAAGACCGGGATCAAAGTCCAGACCTCCTTACCAGGGGAAGTCACCTGCCTGAGCCAAGTAGCGTGTGGCCCCGTGGTGGCCCAGGGCTCTTCTGAGGGCTCCGGACTGCAACACCCGTCCTCTGGTAAAACGGGCAAAGAGGGGCATTGAGCATGAGGAGTATACCGGTTTGATAGTAACGAGGCAGTAATAAGTAATCTCATTTACCAGAGGACCGAGCGTGTGTTTTAAGACCGGGAATTATTTTGGCAGCCTGTAAGCCTGTCCCCTGATAAAGACCGGGATCAGTTAGGACCAAGGACTGACACACATTTTCCTCGCTGTCCTGCGTGTTTGCTGAGACCTTGGGTGAAGGAGATCCATGAGGTACAGGTAAGTAATGTAAAAAAGCAGCCATTGGGCCTGATCCTGAAAGCATTACTGTGTATAATCAGCGCTTTTAGGGCCAAGGAGTTATCTGCAGAGGATTTGCCAGTGTGAGGGCCCCGCAGTGGGATTTCTGTTCCTCTGCTTTCTGCCTTAGCTCTGCTAAGCAGAAAAGGAGCTGGACGCCATCCCTCCCGGTGAGCGTTTGGCACAGGGCTGGGGCGGTGAGGGGAGCCCGAGTGGCTTTTCCTGGGCTGGCTCTGCCAGGAACGTTATCCTCCAAAGTACCAGATTGTCTCTTTAACTGACATGTAAATGCAAAGACTTAGTTCAACTGGGGTATTGATAGGGGAAGAGAAAAGCTCTAAGTACTAAAAAACTCATGTGCCAAGAGGCAGCATGAAATGAAAGGGCACAGAACTGCACGAGCATCGGGCTCACCTACTCCGTACAAGTGCTGTGCCAGCTTAAAATAGGCAAAAACCCCCAACTATCTGAAAGGTAGCATCCTGACAAGTCCTCACCTTACAGTGATATTGCAGGGCTGAACAGTACTCTGTTTATGAAAGACTTAAGGGTGATGTTGGAATGTCTCTATTGGTAATTTTTCCTGGTTTGAACATTATTTGTACAAAGTCCTTAGCTATCTCTTCTCTGCAGTGCTTTTTTCCTTCTTCCTTCATGTATCTTGAGATTGCTTCGAAGGGAGAGACCCTCATCCTGTCTGAAATACCATTTTCAGGTTTATTTCTCTTTTTAATTGAGATGAAAAGTCCAACTTGTAGCACTACTTGTAACTAAGAGTACAATAAATAATTTGGTTTGGGGGACAAAAACACTATACATACAACTTTTGAAGCACAGTGCTCCTATAGCTCAGAGAACCAGGTTTTTGGAGTCATAGCTTTGGCAGCAAGAGCTTAAAGAACAATTTTTCTCATTCCTATATTTTCTTAGGAAGATACTAGAGTGGCCATGAGTTGGATTTTGTTCCTATCCAGCACAATGAACCACATGGGTTTATACTGGTTAAGACTGCTCTGATTCACCCCATCATGGAAAATTGCTTATCTTTGGTGAGATCTTGAGTCTGGAGTATAGCAAATAAAATAGTAATTGTAGTGAAATTGCTGATTCATGAGGCGATTTTTAAAAAAGTTAAATAAACTCATTAGCATCAGTGATAAATGGAAGACGGGGATTTTGTAGGAAAAGAGGGAGCATTAGAAGAAGTGAGTCTGTTAGCACGGAAGACAAACCCAGGAAGGGATGTTTGGTACACAGAGGGTGAAGGAAAGTCAGAGACAGAAAGGGAGGACTTTTCAGCTGAATGCTTGGAAAAAATGACTACCAATACGAGAGAAGTTCCTCCTGGGAGAACAAGGAGGGAGTGCCCCAGAGGCACTGCTGTTTTTTCTGCCTGCAAGAGAGGGTGCCTCTTTGCTGGCTGCCTGCCAGCTGTGTTTAGATCACCTGTGGAAGTGCATTAAGTCAAAACTGTCCGAATATGCTCCAAAAAAGGACAAAAGACACCTGCACCAGGGGCTGTGATGGCTGTCCTATACAGTTTCTCTGTGGTCATAGTCAGAAGTTTGCAACAGGTTGCCTGACAGTCCATATTGCAAAATTCACTGTAAAACTGTCCGAATATGCTCCAAAAAAGGACAAAAGACACCTGCACCAGGGGCTGTGATGGCTGTCCTGTACAGTTTCTCTGTGGTCATAGTCAGAAGTTTGCAACAGGTTGCCTGACAGTCCATATTGCAAAATTCACATCTTTGTCCTTCATGGAAAAGGGATCTGGCCCTACTAAAATACTCAAGCTGACAGTTTGGTGGGCTTTGTAGGGCCAGGATTTATCACGAGAATTTTGCAAGCAGCTTGGAAAAGCAAAATGATATTTTAAAATAGAAGTAAGCTTTCTTGACTTGGCTTAAGTCCCTGGAAATACATTTCTTTTTGATTCTTCAGATGTGGCACATCTTTCCCGTGATATTACGGCAACATCCTGCCAAACTTTTTGCTGCGTTTTGGTCTTTTCCAAATGAATGTCGTGAGCAAGTGGTCATGGTTGGGTGCACGAGATTAAGGTGCATCAAGAGCTAATGACTCTTGATAATTTTTTTTTAATAAAGAGGAGGATGCAGCCTCTGATTCAGAAGACCCCTGTGCCACAAATGCTGTCCCTCTTTCCTCTGCAAGAATACACTCGCCATGATCTTAATTCTCCTTTAGAAACTGGCTGCCTGGGTAGTCTTCAGAGGCAGAACCCAAAGGCTGTGCAACCATTTCAGGCATTTCAGTAATAGATATCTCCGCACCCGAGGTGAGGCTTCCGTATCTGAACTGGAAGGGCTGTGCTTTCAAGTGGGTGAGACCTGCAAATGTTTGTTCTTTCCCTTGTGATAATAAAGACGCACCTTTTTAATGGCTGAATGTTACATGCAGAACTCCTCCTGTGCCTGTGCTTTGCCTCTGAGAGCTGCTGTGTTGTGCTTGTGTTTATACACGTATTCTGTAGCTGTAGTTAACCACCAGTACATTGCTCCTCATAGGAGAGGGGCTCCAGCCCTCTGATCATCTTTGTGGCCCTCTGCTAGACCCGTTCCAGCAGATCCATGTCCTTCCTGTGTTGAGGACTCCAGAGCTGGCCACAGTACTCCAGGTGGGGTCTCACCAGAGCAAAGTGGCAGAACCACCACCTGTGACCTGCTGGCCACGCTTCTCCTGATGCAGCCCAGGATATGGTTGGCTTTCTGGGCTGCCAGTGCACACTGCCGGCTCATGTTAAGTTTCTCATCCACTGACACCCCCAAGTCCTTCTCCTCAGGGCTGCTCTCCAGCCATTCTCCCCCCAACCTGTATTTGTGCCTGAGATTGCCATGACCCAGGTGCAGGACCCTGCACTTGGCTTGGTTAAACTTCAAGCGATTTGCATGAGCCCACCTGTCAAGCCTGTCCAGGTCCCTCTTGGTGGTATCCCTTCCGTTCAGCATGTCGACCACACCACCGAGTTTGGTGTCATCGGCAAACTTGCTGAGGGTGCTCTCTATCCTACTGTCCATGTCTCCAACAAAGATGTTGAACAGCACTGGTCCCAGTATGGACCCCTGACGAACACACACATCACTGGCCACCAGTTGGACATTGAGCCATTGACCACAACCCTTTGAGTGCGGTCAGCCAGCCAGCTCCTTATCCACCATCGCAAAGATGTTGAACAGCACTGGTTTCAGTACAGAACGCCGAGGAATACATGCATCACTGGCCACCAACTGGACATTGAGCCATTGACCACAACCCTTCGAGTGCGGCCATCCAGCCATCTCCTTATCCACCGAGTGGTCCATCCATCAAATCCATTAGTTTCCAATTTTGAGACTAGGATGTTGGTGTTGTGCGGGACAGTGTCAAACACTTTGCATAAGTTCAGGTAGACAACATCTGTTGCTCTGCCCTTGTCCACCAAGCATGTGGCAGTATCATAAAAGGCCACCAAATTGCCAGGCATGATTTGCCCTTGGTGAAGCCATGTTGGCTGTCTCCAATCACCTCCTTATTTGCCATGTGCCTTAGCAGAGATTCCAGGAGGATCTGCTCCATGATCTTGCCAGGCACAGAGGTGAGACTGACTGGCCTATAGTTCCCTGGGTCTTCTTTTTTTCCTCTTTTGAATATTGGGGTTATGTTCCACTTTTTCCAGTCTGTGGGAACTTTGCCAGACTGCCACGATTTCTCAAATATGATGGAAAGTGGATAAGCAACTTCATCCACCAGCTCCCTCAGGACCCATGGAGGGATTTCATCGGGTCCCATGGACTTAGGCACCTTCAGGTTCATTAAGAGGTCTCGAACCTGATCTTCTTGTACTGTGGGCGGTTCTTCATTTGTAGAGCCCCTGTTTTTGCCTGGAGGCTTTTTTTCTTTGAAGACATAAGGTTAAGGAGTTAGAGTGGGTCAGGGGGCTTTTCTAAAGCCATCTATATTATAGCATGATGGGAGGAGATCTGGGGCAAGAAGGTGAATCTTTCAGGAACTCTTACTCCTTTACTGGATTTTAAACAGATTTTATAATTTTAAGTCTCTTTTTTTTGATCATGGTTTTTCTTTGATTGCTGGGAAAAAAGTTTCTTAGATTATTATTACTATGCCAGTGTTTAGGCTGTGCTGGTCAGGCTGCTAAAAACAATACAGTTGTATGCATATATTTGTACACATCTGTATTATGTATGTATGCATGGCATTTCATCGGGATTAATATTAATCTAGAATTTAACATATCACTCTAATATTTTTTCCCCTAGAATTATGAAATTCAAAAGTTGGCTTGTTTCTACTCTTCATCTTTTTTTTTAATTTTTTTTTTCTTTTCTAATTTAAATCCAAAGTGGTAAATAAAACTTTCCCAACCTTCTACAAAGAAGATTAAATCTGCAGGTAAAATTACAAGGTCAACCAGCTAAATGGGTATTAGTAACAACATGACAGAACATAAGCAAGGCAACATAGTCAGATTTGCAAATCAGTAACAATAATGCTCCTTTTCTATCTGTTGTCTAATTGATCGCTTAGTGTTTGGGGACGAGGACACCTGCTGTGGGTCTTTGACCATGGGTGGATGGCTCACCCACTCCCCAGAGTCAGCTCCCTGGCTGTAAAACATCGAGGCCTTTCTGGAGATCCAGAGGCTTATTTTAAGGACCAAAATCACCCACCCCTCAGAATCCCCTTCCCCCATGCCTACCTGGTCATTGCAGGCTGAGGGTAGTGCTGAGTTGCCTGGGGAGGAGCTGGGAAAGCTAATTTTCCCTCCAGCGTTGCAAAAAAAAAATGACAAAGAAACGAAAGAGATAAAAAATGACCAAAGGCAAAAAAAAAAAAAGGAAAAAAGGAAAGGAAAAAAAGGGAGAGGATTTGGCTGTAAACAAAGTGCCTAGCAACTCAGTGCTTAAATGATAGAAACTGGAATATATGAAGCAGATGAAGAGTGTCTTGCTGTGACTTGCTGACAGGGTGACAAGGAGAGACAATCCTGATAGCAGAAACTGGTGAGAGGTAGCAAAGAGAAAAAGGTTTCCTGTGGTCTGACAGTAAGGGCACCAGAAAAAGTTTCTCCTTTGTCCTGTACCCTTTCCAGGTTTCCACCCTTCTTGCCTGTCAGTCTTGACATTTGGTTTGGGCGAGGATGTTGTTAATACACGTTGCCGTAAAAGCCTCCTGCTGAAAAGCGGCATTTTAAAGTGCCAGGAAGGACACGTTTAGCCCCATAATTTTGGTGGCTGTTTGTGTCACGTGCAGTTCTGTTGGTTGGAAACAGCACCACCAGCTCAGGAGGCTCCATGGGATGCTGCCACCGAGCCCACGGGGCAGGAGGAGCCAGCCAGTGCTCCCGGGGGATGAGGCAGGGTAGTCTGTCCCCTTGTGACCCTTTATTTCGAGTGGAGGTTGACCACCACTGTTTTTGGTAGTCCTGTGTGAGAGCTGAGTGGGTGCTGCTGTTCCTGGCAAGGTCTGGTAGGCATCAGGCAGCGTCCTGCTCCGGAGTGGTGGGACAGCCAAAAGCTGCTGGGCCAGAGGCCCCTGGTCATCCCTCCCTGACTTCTGAGCCTGAGCTAAATTGGAAGCCCAGCCACCTACGTGTCTTCCCTTAAAAACAGTGGCCCGGGCACTGCTAAACTCACTGCCTTGACAGAGACGTCATCTTTGAAAGCTTGAAATCTCAGACATCTCCTCTGAAATGCTTGCATTTAGGGAAAAAATAAATGTTTCCTCCTGTGGTTGACATTTTCTTATTATCTATGCATGTTTAATCCCTCTTCATGTCCTGCTGAGCTTCTGAGAAAGCAATTTAGAGGCTTTATTCGGAGGAAACCCAAAAGTTAGCTGGCATTATTAGCACTTATACCGGGGCACATGTTACTTTCAATTATTAAGAAAGGAAAACGGGAACATATCTGCCAACTTTAACTGTGCAGTATTTGAGGTCGTAACTCCTGTTTACACACTGAAATCAGGCCTCTGCTTTTGGGTCTGCCTTGTCTCCGCTGCTTGTGTCTCTATTTACAAAGTGGCAGCTCTTGCAGATGCTTGAAAACACTTTGGTCGTTTGCATTTTGGGTCGTTCCTGGCTGATGTGTGCAACCTCAATGCAGACCCAACACTCGATGTTCACTGAACTCAGCGGCATGACTCTAGCTTTGCCCCAGAAACATTAAGCAGACTATTTCTTTAAATTCATATTTTGAATCCATGTCTCGGGGGAACTCTAGACCTACTTACTTCTCTCTGCCTCAGGCCAGATTGCTTTTCCTGATCTATATGGCATCTAGTCTTGATCTCTTGGTGCCATTTAGATAATTATACTCATTAACAGACCTAAAGGAGGTGTCAGATTAATTTTGATGGAACAACTAGGCTTCGTCACAGGAGTTACCACAGTCCTGTCACTGTGCAACGTGAAGGAGTTACACAAGGGTTAATGGTGTGAACAGAGAGAACCTGTAGCCAAGCTGCTTACCCTGGCAGAACACAGGAGGAAGTTCACACCAGGGGTAGAAACAGATACTCGCAAAGTTCTGCTGATTTGGATCATAGACCTTGACTACCTTTTCTTCATGTGTTCGTTTCAGGCATGTGCTAGAAGAGCACCGGGCTGCAGGTTCCTGTAGCCCACATCGCTTGGGCCCCAGGCTCTAGAGTAAACCTCGTTGGGATCTACGCAGAGCCACAAAACACCGCCCCAGTCAGTTTAAACAAACCCTCTTCTAGGACACAAAGAAGGTAATTTTTTGGCAATACCCTACGCAAAATATTTTGCAGTGGGAACAACAGGAGACGGGAAAAGCTTTGAGATAATCACAAACTGCAATTTCTGACCCAAATCAGAGAGAAAATTCAAGTATAAGTTCATACAAAAGGATTTTCTAAAACACCTGAAAGATTCATTTTGATGCTAAAATACTGGATGCTGTTCAAAATGACCTCTAGAAAAGACATTGGTTGCTAGTAAATCTCTATTGCTTTCTGGAACACCTCCTCTAGATAGACTTAATGTCCAGTTCATGTTAACATCTCCAGGACTGTTCCATGAAGATACGCGCAAGCTGGCTGGAAATCTTGAATCACAGCCTGTATTATTTGTCAGATGCAGGCAAAGGAAGAAAAATACAGATAATTTAGAAACCACAGGCCTTGTCATGCCTAATGTATTCTCATATCTCTGCTGTACAGGAAGACGCTTCAGATGGATGGTGATGGATTTGCTAAATGTAGTCACAGCCATGTTGACCTGTTGAAACATAATAGAAGCCATTGTTTTCCATATGTTCTTCATACATAGCATTTCTCCCAGGCAGTAGGGAAGACAGAGCATTTGCTTCACTTGGGAAGCTAAACCTGCTGTGCGCAGGTGGGGTGAGGGATGAGCATCCCAGAGGGATGAAGCCAATACCAGGGTGATTTAAGTCCCTGATATGCCAACTCAAGCAGTCCAAGGAACCGATCTGCCTATGTTAGTAAAATGTGTTTTTTAACTTTCCAAATTTTCCTCATTTGCCTGAAAACAAGAAGAAATGTGAAGAGAAAAATGGCCTTGGTGAGAGGAAGCTGGTTGTCTCTCTTGTCACCCTTCCCCTTGGTGTTTTTTCAGGAAATGCTAACCCTGTAACACATTGCCAAGCTTGGGTCCTTGGGATACCAATGCTGTATCTATGCAAATGCTTCTTTTCCAACAGCATCCCCTATCGCAGTCTGGGCTCCTGCTGACCTCGGGAGTATTTTGGGGCAGCTCTTCTCTTCTTCTGCTCCAAGGGGGAAAAATTAAAGACAGGGCCATCAGATGAGGCACCTGTGTGCACTCTCACACGTTTGCTGAGTTTTCCTGGAGAGGGGAGTTTGGGGAATTGGTGCTGTTCTGGGGAAAGACTATTGAGAGAGTGAAACAGGGAAGAAATGCGATTGCAACAGAAGATGGGGTGCAGTCCTGTACGGACAGGGAGGCTGATTCCTCCACTGTGACTGGTCTGGAGGCTTGCATGGCTCTGCAGGGCTGTGGGTCACAGTGAGGAGCTGCAGCTGGGGCATGTTATCTGGGTGGCTCCCTCCTATATGTGGCTGGAGAGACAGAGCTGAGACACCAAACTGGGAAAGCTCAAGGTGCTACTGACGCAATGTGGGTCCTTGCAAACTCTCCCTCCAATCCTCTCCCCAAGTACCTCTGTGGATAATTGCAATTTGATTTGAGAAAAAAAGAACACCATTCCTACCAGCTCCAGATAAGCCGGATTTTGCTTTTGCTGATTAAACCAGTGACAAAAGCTAGTATTTTCCTGCTTTCACGCAGTCAGAATGAAAGGAGACTTTGCTCTGGGAAGCGTGCATTTCTCATCAAGGCCACTGCATACCTGCTGGCAGTAGGCAGGGACCTGCTGAAAAATGATACACGTGGATGTGTGTTATTTGCAAAATTTATAAAATATATATTTTACAATTTACATAAACTTGCAAACATTTGCAGTTTGTGCTAATATATATGTATAGCATTTACATATCTGTATAAGGTATGCTGCAAAAGGTAAAACATCCAAATAGTCTGACCCACTGTTGTTTTTTTTTCTGAGCAGCTGACTGAATGGCAGATATGTGATTCACGGCCTCTCCAGCAAAAAGATTGGGAACAGTTTCCACATTGGTGCAAGAGCCCCACAGGATGCAAAGAAGATGAAGATGGAAGGAATCTGATACTGGCTCTGATACAGGCACTCTTTTCAAACAAATGGAGAAACATGGTATTTAAAAAAAACCCTGATGCTGTTATTTCCTCTCTCTCATCTGGCATGGGCATTTATCTGTTGCTTCTCCACTCTCTGTCTTGTTAGAGCCCTGGTGGGTCTAAGTCATGGTCTGTAAGATGCTGAAAATAAGGAGGAGATCTGAAGCATCAGCCAGGGTAACCTGGAATTGGTGGGCATGATTGCACAAGATGATCTTTAAGGTCCCTTCCAACCTAGAAGATTCTGTGATTCTGTGATTGTGTGGATTTCTGAGGATATACTGGCTTGTGGGGCAGATTCAAGTAAGCACGGGTGTGAATTTGATTGCCAGCAGAACATCTTGTGGGAATGATACTAAGAGAAATGTGTGTGGGTGAATGCCCCAGAATAGGTAGCTTTCAATTAGAGACGACCTGGCTTTAAATCTCTGTGCAAGGAGATCTGTGTGGTATACAGCACTGAAAGGAACTAGATACTATTTTTTTAAATGATGTACTGTCTGTCTTGTTTCTTTCAGGATTTCAGAAAATACGGGCTGTTTATTTGGCTTGTGGGTGTCAGCTGTGTTAGCTTATGGTTTTACAGCAATTTCCCCAAATTCTGTATATTCTGTGAAAACAGCCAAAATGAGGTACTCCCCAAGAAGAATCTCAGGACAACCAGAGGAGACTTCTTGCAGCTCCCAGATATAGACTGCCAAGAGAACCCGCCTTTCCTCGTGCTGCTTGTGACATCCTCGCACGACGACATCAACGCCAGGATGGTCATCCGGCAGACCTGGGGGCAGGAGAGAACAGTGGCCGGCAAACGCGTGGTGGCATTTTTCCTCCTAGGAAGCACTGTGAACCTCAGGCAGCAGGCTGCTATTGCTGCTGAAAGTCAAAAGTACAAAGACATCATTCAAAAGAATTTTACAGATACATATTACAATTTGACTTTGAAGACCATGATGGGAGTGGAATGGATTCACAGATTTTGTTACCAGTCCAGCTTTGTGATGAAAACTGACACAGATGTATTTATCAATGTTTTTTATCTCACTGAGCTGCTTCTAAGGAAAAATAGGACCACTAGACTCTTCACAGGCTTTTTAAAACTGCACGACTCCCCCATACGGAACAGACAGAGTAAGTGGTATGTGAGTAGAGAAGAATATCCAGGAAAGACCTACCCGCCGTTTTGTTCTGGGACTGGTTATGTTTTATCCACTGATGTTGTTAGTCAGATCTATAATGTTTCAAAGAGCATTTTGTTCATTAAATTGGAGGATGTATTTATAGGACTGTGCCTTGACAAATTAAAAATTAGGCCGGAGGAGCTTCATTCAGAGCAGACCTTTTTTCCAGGAAAGATTAAATTCTCTGTTTCTGTATTTAAGAAAATTGTGCTGTGCCATAAAGTAAATCCATCTGAGCAGCTGACGTATTGGAATAGCTTAGTGGCATCATATCATGGAGGAGTGCCCTAGCACCTTCCCTGTTTGAATTAACAAATGGAAATGCTCTTTACTCCAGCAAAACTCCTGATTAACTCTAGATCCATCAAGTTAAAGACTCTTTTAATGGTTACTTTAATCTCCATTCCTGCCCAACCCTCTTTCTCTCCCATTCACTCCCACCTCTTTTCATATCTTCTCTACACAAGTTACAAGCATTAATTTTTTTCTGAAAGATGCAGGCCTGCAAACCCGTCCTGCAAATCTTGCTGCTATGGGACAGGGAATGCTTCTGCAGTGCCAAACTAAAAGTCAAAGTACTTTTCTTCAAGGAGGAAAATCTGCACCCTCTTCCTGGTCAACCTGCACCTCTTCCCAAGTCACGGAAGGCAAAAACACAGGCTCTGCAAATGAAGAACTGCCCACAGTATGAGATCAGGTTCAAGACCTCTTAAGGAACTGGAAGGTACATAAGTCCACGGGTTCTGAGGGAGCTGGCAGAAAAAGTTGCTAAGCTGCTTTCCATCATATTTGAGAAATCATGTCAATGTGGCAAAGTTCCTGCAGACTGGAAAAAGGGGAACATAACCCCGATATTCAAAAAAGGAAAAAAAGAAGACCCAGGGAACTATAGGCCAGTCAGTCTCACCTCTGTGCCTGGCAAGATCATGGAGCAGATCCTCCTGGAATCTCTGCTAAGGCACATGGAAAATAAGGAGGTGATTGGAGACAGCCAACATGGCTTCACCAAGGGCAAATTGCAGAAGCAAGACAGGGAGCCAGCAGAACTGCCACCTTGGACTTCCAAAAGGCAGACTTTGGCCTGTTTAGGAACATGGTTGAGAGGTCCCTTGGGGACAGTCCTGAAGGGCATAGGTGCCCAGGAAGGCTGGTCATACTTCAAGGAGGAACTCTCAAAAGCACAGGAGAAGGCCATCCCCAGGTCCCATAAAACAAGCTGACAGGGAAGAAGACAGGTCAAGGGAGGTCATTCTCCTCCTCTGCTCTGCACTGGTGAGGCCACATCTGGAATATTGTGTCCAGTTCTGGGCTCCCCAATTCAAGGACAGGGAACTTCTGGAGAGAGTCCAACGTAGGGCAACAAAGATGATTAACGGATTAGAGCACCTCCCTTATGAGGAAAGGCTTGAAGAGCTGGGGCTCTTTAGCCTGGAGAAGAGAAGGCTGAGGGGAGACCTTATCTATGTTTACAAGTTCCTAAAGGGTGGGTTGAAGGATGTTGGAGCCGGACTCTTTTCAGTGGTTTCCAGTGAGAGGACGAGGGGCAATGGGCACAAGCTGGAACATAGGAAGTTCCATGCAAATACGACAAAGAACTTCTTTAGGGTGAGGGTGACAGAGCCCTGGAACAGGCTGCCCAGGAAGGTCATGGATTCCTCTTCTCTGGAGATTTTCAAGACCCGCCTTGTTGCAGTCCTGAGTGATGTGCTCTGGGCAATCCTGCTCTGGCAAGGGAGTTAGACTAGATGATCTCTAGAGGTCCCTTCCAACTCTGACAATTCCATGATTCCATGATAAAGAAATGCTTCCTGGCCTCTCCTAGTTTCCTGTCTTGTGGGGCAGAGGGTCATGAGCTGGGACGGCGTAGTGCAGGCTGGCCTTTTCTAGTTATCATAGAAACAATCCTGCAGTCCCTTGTGGGTCTCACTTCCACCTCTGTGCCTGGTGCCAACCTTATCACAGCTGGCAGGACCAGTCCAACCACGCAGTCCCAGGGAGCCTTTATCTTGGCAGAACAGCTATTCATTTACATACGGATGTGTTGACTTGTTTGCCTCCATTAGGTGTTGAGATCCAAGAAGTAGGGTGGTACCTGGCTCCTGGGGTGGTGCAGCTGCTCGTCTTCTGTCAATTGAATTTTGGCCAAAGGGTAAAGTCTCCTGTTAGGAGACAGTATTTTGGGTTGCTTCCCTGAACGATGTCTGCTTGTGAGTGGCATTAAAATATGTCTTACTTGAGTGGTTTGTGGCTTTGTATCATCATAAAAAAAGTTAGGCTTGAGGGCCAGGTTCTGCTTGACTTCTTGACTGTGGCTTTTATTTTAGTTCAGGAAAGTTCCTAATTACTTGAATATAGCTACTAACTGGGAAGGTGGTACCATTTGCTGTTACTCACATTTATAGGTGCTACTACTACATTTTGTGTCTAAAGTCATAGCTACTGTGCCACTGGGAATAAAGTCTTCAGGCATGTTTTAAGAAATAATCCCATTCTGGATACTATTTCCAGGGAGTCTATTTGTAATTTCAAGTGACCCATGTAAGATGCCTGTCTTTATTACTGCATTTGAAAAAAATTGTCCTCACTGAAGATATGTTGTTAAGTAACTAATGCCCTGCCTATCTGAAGCGTTTGGCTTATCACCACTAAATCTCTGATGAGAAGCAAATGGGTACAGGTTGAAATGTTAGGGTTTCAGACAGCCTGTTCCTATCCTTTTTGCAAATTATCTTCCCAAGTGAATACTTTAGGTTACTGAACATTGTTTTCCTCAACATTTTATTTTCTTTCTGTTCACATAAATTAGAAATTGATTTCATAATTCTTTCCATTCAGTAGGCTGCTTTGAGTAAGAACATAGTAAACGAATAATTAATTAAAATATACAGTTATCCTGCTGGAAAAGGTGACTTAAGAAAAGTAGATAATTGTATGTAAGGCAAATTAATTTATTTAAACAAAGTCACTGTGCTAGTCAGTTTATATAATCAGTTAAATGAAATTAGCTTTTGCATCTTAGGCCTCAGGTAACGACTTTTAACACAATCAAAACAGTAATAGTGGCCCTTTTGCCAAATCATCTGTATTTTCCAATGAAAGACCATCACAAAATGATTGGAAATACAACTAGATCTGTAAAGATGATACTCAGTATACATACACTTTTTTAAAAATTTTGTATAGCATAATAAAAGAATTTAGGCAATTTTCAAGCAGTTTATCTGTGAAAGCAGTGCACTATCCTAACATTTTTATGCTTTCTGAGTCAGGTGATCATTAAATCATTTTCTTCTGAATAGCTTTGAAAACTTACTCTGAAAAGTTGCTCCATTGCTTCTCATTTAGTAGGAAGGAGTGTAAAAATCAACAGAGCTGATGACAGTGTCTTAGAGCTGGTTAGAGCTGTGCACTTCAGCATGCTCTATTTCTCCCAACACAAGATCCATTTTCTAATGCAGAAAAATGAATACATTTTTCACAACTCTAACTTGTCAACTAACATATTCTTAGTTTGAGTTAGGATTTTCAAAAATGTCCATGATGGATTTGGTCACACATCTCATCTAATTCAATATTATTGAGAAAATATAACCCTTCTAGGCACTTTTGAGAATACAGGGAAGATTTTTTTAATGAAACATTTGCCTTACGTAAAAGCCGAATGGAACACAAGGGCTAACTATCTGTAATGGATCTGACAGAAATGCTGCTCTTCTAGGATTTCTGCGGGTTACTATATAATGTTAAGATAAAATGTGTGACAATGTCTGCATTATTTGCATAGAACATGAGAATGTGGAGCTAAATATTTAATGTATGATATAAAGTTGCTAAGTTTTGTTACCAGATTTTTGTGTGTTCACTTATCTTTTCGGTCGTGAGTGTATTAACATTTTGGGATGTAGTCAAGTTAGGAGGCTTGCTCTTTTTCCAGTTAAAATGAATAGAATAATAGAATCATAGAATCGTTTAGGCTGAAAAAGACCTTTAAGATCGTCAAGTCCAACCATAAACTTAACACTGCGAAATCCACCACTAAACCATGTCCCTAAGCACTACATCTACATGTCTTTTAAATGCCTTCAGGGACAGTCACTCAACCACTTCCCTGGGCAGCCCATTCCAATGCTTGATAACCCCTTCATTGAAGAAATTTTTCCTAATATCCAATCTAACCCTCCCCTGGTGCAACCTGAGGCCATTTCCTCTTGTCCTATCATCTGTTCCTTGGGAGAAGAGACTGACCCCAATCTCTCTACAACATCCTTTCAAATAGTTGTAGAGAGTAATAAGGTCTTCCCTCTCCAGGCTGAACAACCCCAGTTCCCTCAGCTGCTCCTCATAAGACATGCTTTGGACCTGTCACCAGCCTCGGTGCCCTTCTCTGAACACACTCCAGCACCTCAATGTCCCTCCTGTAGTGAGAGGTCCAAAACTGAACACAGTATTTGAAGTGGGGCATCACTAGTGCCGAGTACAGGGGGATGATCACTTCCCTTGTCCTACTCTCCACCCTGTTTCTGATCCAGGCCAGGATGCTGTTGGCCTTCTTGGCCACCTGGGCACACTGCTGGCTCATATTCAGCCAGATGTAGACCAACACCACCAGTTCCTTTTCTGCCTGGCAGCTTTCTGGCCGCTTTTCCCCAAGCCTGTAGTGCTGCATAAGGTCATTGTGACCCAGGTGCAGGACCCAACACTTGGCCTTGCTGAATCTGAATCTGTTAATTTTCTCCTCTTCTCTAAAATGCCTTTCTATGTACATTCTCAAATGACTGGTAGACTCCTCTTCCTAAGGCAAATCCATAATTTCCATAGAAGAGAAAGAAATCAAGAATGGGAGTGCTTTCCCAAGTATTAAGCATACAATCCTGCCACAGTAGCCACTCTTCCCATTAATGGTCTATACATGGTGCATCTCTAAGTCAGAGGCTCCCTAAACCAAAATCTTATAAACAGGCTGTGATTTGAATACAGAATGTTTTTTAAAAATGACAAGAGTGTCAAATGCAAGATTGTTAAAACCATAGCAAAGGAATGGATAAAAGACAATTTTAACCACAGTTGATACCTTTTGGAAGATCAAGATCCAATATGAAATGGTTTTGTCTGTGTCATCATAGCCAACACTGTTTGACTGGCTGAGTGGCATACTCCTTGGAACCTGGAAGCACTGGGCTGTTCCCCTATCATTTAAAAGGAAAATGTCAAGTAACTGAAGCCTGTCAGTTTGTTTGCCAAACACAAGCAGTTATGAACTAAAAACCATAACTGGAAAAGGTCTCCCTTACTATCTTTATCATTTATTTTATCTTTTTTCCTCACTTACCTTTCTGGTGTATTTTGTATGTTTGTTTGCATTTGGATTTCAATTCATTAGTTCATTTCACTAGCATACTTCTGGAAATATCCGCAAATATTGTCACACTGCATAGAGAAAAGCACCTGAGTCATAAGACTTAGATATATACAGTACATAGGATATCCAATCTGAAAAAAACAGATTTGAATTTGCACATGTTCTGGCTGCGCAAATAGAGATTTTACCCAAGCCTAGTAATACACTGGTTTTAAGTCTACCCTTCTAAAAAGTTCACTGAAGTTCATTTTCATTGAAAAATGTAATTGGACAATTTCAGTGGTTGAGAAATAATGTTATTGTTGCCTTATGTTTCACAAATTCAAAAATACATTATTTTTGTGAGGAAAAAAAAATAATCCAAGTCCCTTCCAACTGAACCATATACACAAGGTCCCTTGTGTTCAGCTACTGACTTAACCTGACCTCTTTTAATTTATGACGTTGGGTGCAGGGACAGAGGCCCGTGTAATCAGCTTCCTATTCTTCCGCCACCAAAAGCAC